CTTTCAAGCAATGGCTAGGGCACATTGAATAGCAAAATCAAAATAAAGAGCTTGTTTGAGAACTAAATTGTTTTCTTATGATAGTGTTGCATCTAAAGCCCTCGGTACATTTGCTTAAGATGTTAAGCATGCTTTATCCCAATATAGTGTGTGCTGTATTCTTGGCTTTGTTTTGCAGATATTGTATAGCCTTTCATACAATGATTTTTTTTTAAATCAGCCAAAGCTCTTTTTGCCTATGCTCTTATTACAGATTGTCATACATACATGTATGGATAGGCATCTAACTGGTTAAATACTGAAACAAAAGCAGCAAAAATTAAGCAACTGTATGAAAGGCAAATTAATTGAAAAAAGAGAGAGGGAAGTGATTGGCGGTGGTGGGGCAGGGGAGAGGGGGAAGGAGCCCCAAAGAAAGCAGGAAGAGCCTATGTCTCTGCTGCCTTATACCATGCGTAGTTATATGGCAGCTTTAGAGAGCAAGACACAGAGACACAAATAGGAAGTTACCATTCCCATTGGCACCTATCCTACTCTGCACAGGTGGGAATCACTACCTTTAACCCAAGGTAGAGGAGTGATACAGTTACAAGTGCCCTCATTTGTTCTCCTTTGTATTACAGCATTCCTCACTGCTACATGATTTTAGAACACTAAAATGAGTGCAGTATACTGTACCCTCAAACCACTCATCATACCGTTAGGCAAAAAGAGTCAGATTATTTAAACATAATTAATCATTTAGTCATGGAGAATACAAGTGACTCCTGTGTGTCAAAATCAAGTCTAAATGTCTGAGAATGTCTTCCCTACAGAGTTCATTCAAGTTACAGCTTGAGTGTTGTCCTACATGCATCTTCCATTTTCACCCAGGGTATACCACTAACCACTGCTACTGACCACACAGAAAAGCCTCTGACCCCTTTTTGGATACATTTTAAGCTAAGACTAGCTCACCCAGCTGTGGGTTTAGGTTAGCACACAGACCCACAGAATATGCTCCAAATGTACACACAAGTGCAGAAACCATAACACATTAATAAGGGGAGGATCGTGGGCGACTGGTGCCTCCCAAGTCTGGGGGGTACCAGATTTCCGACTGGGGGTGGGGGGGAGAAGAGGAGGTCCCCCAGCAACTGATCGCCAAGCCAGTGCTGGTGCTTTCAGGAAGTGCACAGCCAATCTCAGGGGGTGTACATGCACCTGCGTGTACTGTCTATGCGTTGCCAACGGGGAGGATTATTTAGTATTTAATAACCTGGCCAGATTGTTCAAGTACTATGTAAATGTTACTGTATTTAAACTGGTAGAAAGCCTACCTATATGGAATGTGACAGGTTTTCATTTTTGCTTGGTTTGGGGGTTAGGCTTCCATTATGGGGTGTGCAGCATGTCAAAGCCATTTAAAATACATACTTCAAACAAAACACATTCTGAAAAATTCCAATGCAAGAAAACTGTTTTGTTTGAACACAGCATCTTACAACTTTTTAAAAAATTATTCTATTTATGCAACAGCAATTCTTGACTCAGGAAAGGAATTCACGATGAACATGGCATGAAAATAACTAAGACTGATCTTATAAAACCAAGTAATATAGATTAGGATGTTTTATTTTTAAATTTCTGCATTAAAAATGTGGAAACCAAGAAACAGAACATTGACAAAGGCTACCCCTCTGATACAAATTAATTTTCTGGTGTAGAGTCTGCTAGGCATAGGCATTTAAAAAAATAATTTTACAACATTTCCTTTTTTTTTATTTTTTATTTTTTTGTTTTGTTTTTTTTTTACGTATATTCTCCCAGTCCTCAGAATCTCAACTAGACTTGGATAATTTTGAAAGACAAAAGGTGCAGTGTTTGCTTTAAATGAATTCTGCCAAGTCTACACGGATGATTAAGAGTTGACTTTAAGGCCTCGAACCTTTATACACCAATCATATACACTTTAAGTCCTTTAGCTCGAGTCCTGGCAGCAGCCCAGCCCAACCCAACTTTGGAAGCTCTCCTGAAGTTTGGGGCACGAGATCAGCCCCACCCCTGCTCACTTCCCAGTGCCACTCTTTCTGCAGTGTGTTTGGAACTTATGAGGCACCACAGATCACCAGCTCCTGCACTAGTATCAGCAACCCCACAGTTCCCTGGTTCTTGACTTCCTCTCCAACAGCCCATAGGCAGAGACAAGAAACCTGGAGATCAATACCTGGAAGGGCTCTATAAGACAACGTGGAATACATCTTGCCACTATGCTCAAGTGTTAAACATCACAATATGGATGGTTTTGGCACAGGCTGCGGGATATGATACAGATGGGAAAGGGCATCTCACATAGCTCAGGCTTCTTGTGGGTGACCTCAGTGTTGACTCTAAATATCAGTGCAAACATCCTCTTCATGACACACTCGCACTAAAATGGCACAAATACCCCACAGATCTTACAGATCACACTTTAGGGTCTTCTTTCAAAGTCAGCCATACTGGTCTGAGGCATGCTACCTGAAAAGGTCCAGCCCCAAGACGCAAACATGCACACACTCCTCTCCATAGCTGCTTTGCCACAGGCCATACCACTCTCTGTTCCTTCTGTGTAACACAGCAGATTCCTAAAATATTTAAAAAATAAGAATACCTTTAAATAAAGTGTTTTAAAATCTCAAACTTGTTTTGGTATAAACCATTTACCCAATGGCTAAAATTACAATACTGGTGATCTCCATATGATCTGTCAGTGAGGGTAATGGATGTCAAATATACACTGCAGGAAGACACTATGCCAAAAGTGGGAAAAGAAACCCCAACATTTTTTAAAGGCTGCATTTTCTGGCATAGATTTACATTCACTCGTCACAATATTTTAGTTTACTCAATTCTGAGGAATCTAAACAACAGATCTCTACTGCTACTATGAACTTAGGGACAAATTCTGCTCCCAATGGCATCAATAGCAAAGACTTTAGTAAATTCAGCAGTAATAAGACTGCACCCTTTATGAGGCTTTCCTCTTCCCACCCAGCCATATGAGCAACAGGCCCATAAGATCTCATTTCCAACCTTTCCTATACCATGATAACATGAAAAATAAAACCAGTCCACTTCCAGCTGAAATTTCCCCCATTCTTAGGGCATACTTCAAGGCCATTAATTGGCTTTCCTACAGCCTTCAACTGACATCTGGCCAGGAGGACCCTGGTCTTAACAACACACATATCTTAATGTGTACACAGACAAGAAGCTGCTCTTTCAGTTAGAAAAGAAATTAATTCTGTCACAGAATGCATCCTATAAAAGATATGTAATAAAGTAGTAATACCCATAAAATAGCTATTACTAAAGCAAAGCTTTTGTCAATAAGCCTCCAGAACTTTAAATGAAGAGAATGGCTTCACAAAATGGTAGTCTAGATTTCCACAGTGTGGACACTGTTGGACATTGCTGTACTCTGAGAAATACTGCATCCCAATCCGTACATCAATGACTGGCTTTCCGCAGTGCTTACAGTTCAGTCGAGCCTGTAAAAGAGCAGAGAAATACTTCTGAAACAAGTAACTACACCACAGAAAAATAAGTTATTTTACACAGTTCATTCCTCTTTCATAAAAGGAAATCAGGCTTCTATCAGGAGCTATATCTAATATTATTTGATGGTGAAGACAACTGCTTAGAATAGTAAACTCCATTAATTGGGACATCTCCATGTGATTTTGGATCCACTCCTGTAAAGCACTGGGTAGTTTCAGCTACCTTTTAAGCACTCTTCAAGACTGAGCCCTTAGAGAACATCTTCACAGCACCACGCAGATAGATTGCTCAGAACTGGCTCAGCAGACCTGCATTTAGTGCAGTGTGTGTCTGGGCTAATATGGCTGTAACAGCTTCCAAAATGCAACTGGCTTGTTCAAAGCTGCCTCTGATATCTCTGTGCTGTACCATGTAAATATAATCAAAGAGATAACCCACATGATCCTGATGGTAGCCAATTACTATGCATAAAACTCCAAAAATTACTTCAAAATCCCCTTCTATTAAGAAAAACAAAAAACAAACAAAAAACAAACAAAAAAACAACTTCTCTCCAAATGCACTCAGAGTTCCCCTTTGTCAGGCTGCCATAGCATGAGTGTCCACGTTTCTGGCAGACTCATTATCATGTAAAATTTGAGAAACCTATATTACTTAGGGAATTTTATGCTGCATGCAATTCATAGGAAAGCTACACCAAGCCTCTTGCCAGAGGCGGGGAAATGTTCATTTTTTGATTTTTTAGTAAGTCCTAAAGCTTGGTAAAAAGTATAATGAGGCGATCAAAGCAACTGGGGGAAAAAAAAAACTTCAGCTAATCAATAGCTTTCTAGTTAATCTCATCAATGGCCATCTAGTATGTCATCCCAACTAAATACGGTACATTCTAGAGAGGTCTCCAAATAGTACTAGAGTCCCCAGCATAAGCAGTATGTATATTTTAGCAATATAATACTCGAATTTGTAAGTTAACATTTTGGCAAGTCTAAAAACAAAAGCAAATGGCATATTTGCTTGTATGTACCTATACAGACTTGATTAATCAACTTGAAGTCACTTCCAAAGCCCTTAGTACACATCATGAGAGTTATTTTTATATGAAAACTAAGCACAGTAGTGTCTTCAGCTGCTAAGAAATTAAGGGGAGTTAAGTTCTTACTTGACATATATGCAAAATACCAACTTTAAATGCAAAAATACTGATTTTTATATTGATTATATTCCTAAACTAGACCTATGTACTTCACATTATTATTCCTGTCTATATACCTTAACTCTGAAAAGACACTAAAGAAAAGAAAAACAAACAATTTTTAAGTCCTTGCAACATAATTCTTAATCTACAGATTCTTACTGTGATGCTATTTAGGTTTATATTTAAACATAATCTTAGTATGCAGCACATCAACATTTTAATCTTTATGGATTAACAATTTTAAAGGTTACCATATTTCAGTAGCATGATAAGGTATTATACAATGTATTGTATCTTAAAATCTTTTTCAGATTTTGAAAACTTATGTATGGGCTAGATATTATTATAGTATAAAAGCATTTTTAAAAATCCAATTTACATAGGCCCTACTTTAATTGGATAGATCCGTGAGGCAATTAAAAAGTGTCAGGATGAGAACAGCTAGAACTATTGCTGAATAGAACAGATAGCTAGGCAAAATAAGTGGGTTTAAGGAAGATATTGGGCTGTGAAAAATCAGGCCACCTGATGTACAAGGCAGCAGGCTGCTAGAACCATAGCAAACAAGGTGGAGGGGGTTTGGGAGAAGACAGATATAAGAACAGAGGAAACATGAGGCAGAGCATAGAAGGAAAGAGGACTGACATGTAGGTAGGGTCCAAAATGCACAATAAAGCCCTAAACACAATTTAATGGATACTTTGGAACTTCTACCACAGGTCTAGAGCAACAATGACTGCTCAAAGTGTCAGATTCATTAGATCTTTACTTGGAAAAAATATTTAATAGTTTAAATTATACATTGTTTATTATATGTTATATGTATATATTAAAATTGTTTATTATAATCGGGGCTGGACTCGATGATCCTCTGGGGTCCCTTCCAGCCCGAATGTCAATGAAATTCAAGTAAAAGAGCATTAGTATAGATTTACGTATAAATAAATGAATAGATAAATCAGTCTCATCTTCTCTGCTAGGACACCAAAGATCCTAAAGCAGGGGTAGGCAATGGTTTTTTGGCCAGAGTGCCGAAAAAACCACAATGTCTACTTTGTAAGGTGCTGGAGTGCTGGCATGTCACAAAAACAAAACTGGGGTGGAGAGAGTACATGGCAGGATGAGCTGGGTATTTAATACTATTAATAATCATCATTAATGTTGCTTTTTTGGTTTTGATTTTTACTTTTTTAACACAGTAAATAGAGAGCTGGTGTCAGGCGGGGAGTGGGGGCTGCCCCAGGGCTCCGATACTCGGGCCAGTGTGGGGCCCAGCAGCACTGGAGGTGGGGCCCAGCTGGCCTGCGCAGCTCCGCAGGGATGGGTGCAGCCACCCTACCCACAAAGGGAGGCTGCCTGGCTAGGGCAGGACGCTGTGCTCAGGGGGCTCCTGCTTGGTCTGTGTGTGCACCAGGTACAGTGGAAGTGGGAGCTGCAGCCACAGGCTGTTCCCTGGGATCTGGGAACAGCTGCCACAGCCAGTGCTCAGGGCCAAGCCAGCCGGGAGCCTGCAGCACAGCATCTCTGTGCAGTGCCTACCCTAGCCCTGGCCCCTTGAAGGGAGTTGCAGGTAGGCAAGGCCAGGACCTGAGTGGGCTGAGGCAGCCACGGTGGCTGTTCCCAGGCTCCAGGGGGCTCCCGTGGCCAGGCCCCTGCACCAGGGATGGCTCTGCCCTGCCTGCGCTGTGCCCAGCATGCAGAGAGGCTGATCCCAGAGGGGGAAACCCCCTGAGCCCAGCATCCTGCCCCAGCCAGGCAGCATCCCCATGTTCGCAGGGTGGCTGCGACCCATCCCTGAGGAGCTGCACAGGCCAGGCCAGCCCCACCATGGGTGCTGCTAGGCATCCCCGCCTGCCCACCCACCACAGCTCAAGCCCTCAGAGCCCTGGGGCAGCTCCCACCTTCCTAAGGGACCAACCAGGCTGGCTTGCCTGCAGCGCCTCCTCCCACGCTGCCCAGACCCTGTCCCAACTGCCCGGCCCCAGGACTCAACACCTCAATGCTGCCCTGGGTGGGACAGGGTGTCTGCCTGCCTGGGCAGCTCCCTCGAGGGGCCAGCCGAGCTGGAGGGCTGGAGGGTGCAACCTGGACGCATGGGGTGGGGGCAGTAGAGCACAGACTAGAACCCTGCCTGCGTTCTTCTGGCTCCACCCCGGTGCCTGCCATGGTGCTGTGACTTGTGGCTGCACAGGAGAGCCCGGAGAAACAACTTAAAAAAAAAAAACAAAAAAAAAAACCCCCAGCTTCTTTGCGTGCCTTCTGGCATGCCAAGAAAAATGTCTCTGCGTGCCACTAATGGCATGTGTGCCAGGGGTTGCCGACCCCTGTCCTAAGGCATTCTCTGATGGAAAGTACATGTATAAGTCACCTTGGTCAAGTTTCCCTCCTCCAACGCCCCTTAACCTCCTTACATCGGCCAGCTTGTTAGCTTCCATTCTTACAGTGGCTATATTATAATAATGCTGCTTATATAGTTCATGAAGTGCTCTGGGATTTTTTGGAACAAGGTACTAAATTATTTAGCTGAGAAGTAGAAAATCAGTTCAGAATTAATTTACAAAGCAACTCTTAACTCTGCCCCTTTGGGTACATGCCCACATGTATATGGAAATTTTAAGTTAAATATAAAGGAAGTTAATGCATATTTCCATGATGAGCGGACAGTCTCTTCTCATCATGCAAAGGTCTTCAGAGCAGGGACTGTCCCCTTTCATGTTTTACGTAGAGCCAAGAATTTGTGGTACTTAGCATTAATAACATCTAGAAGCTGGTAAGTTTTATAAAGTGAGCGCACAAGCAAAGTAATTAAATATTGAATGAAAAAAATCTATTCTTTTCTTCCATTGTGATGAAACCAGTCTATGTATCATTGGATATGAATGCAATAGAGCTACATATTGAACTGAAAGGACCTATTTTGTTCTATTTTCTTTTCTGTTTAAATAACATTTCCATTGAGCCCCTCCACTCACACTGGCAGCTCAATGCAACTTGCATACAATTTATCTCACCCTTAATATATACTTAAGCAATATGCCAATGAGCTACTGCCAATGTGACAATTTTGAAAAACCTCTTGAGGCTTGATGCTGTGAACTGCAAAACAGTCTCATCAATTATCAATCGCATGTTAATCTGCAACAACATGGCATGAGACAAACAAACTGGGCTGCTGTTATACATATCAAAAAGAAGTTCTTTCAAAATGTGATATTATTTCAAATAGACACACGCTTTCCAAAGTTAAACAAAAAGGAGTGAGGGGGAGCTCCTTTAAGACTTTCCATTAACTCTACCTTGCTGCTATGACTATCCCTTGATAAAGACGTATTTAGAGACTTTTAGTTGTCTAAACTAACTTGACACTGCTTGCAGTAACTAATAGAGTGTTATTAAGATACTATTAAAGTCAAAGATAATATTAAAGTAAACACTAATGCAAAAACTAGAGGTGCATGAGATACTCTGTAGTGCTCATTCAATCTGAGTATTAGGGGTTAATAATTTTTAAATAAATAAAATTCTATAAACTAACAGCTCCCCAATTTTTAAGTTCTATTATTATACACCTCAATGCTTTATAATTTCACCATTTAAAACTATGAAGGACCATTACAGTATTAGTCTGACATCCTAAATAACACTGGCTTGTGCTTGTAGGCCATTTGTTTTTTTGGAGGAAGAGGAAGGAGGGAAAATATAAAACACCCATCAGTTTCACTTACCAGTTGGAACTTCACCTTGCAAGCCTTGTTATGCATAATACTGACCTGACAACAGGGAGAAGCTGCCAGAATATCGTAAGTATACATAGTTCCCAGCTGGTGCCAACTTCCATCCCATCGGGACTTGCACTTAATGCAGATGATTTTGTGAACTCCTTCTAAGCAGTCTACACAAACAGCATAAAGGTGCATAAGCCTTCCTGTGGACAGGAAACACATTTCTTAAGGAAAGGACATATTGTCAAAAGATCAAAACAGACATTTCCTTTAACATGCTATTTGCTGTTTGTTGCAATACAAATCATACCTTATTAAAAAATGCTTCTCTAGTAAATTTAATAGAGCTTGGCCCAAAGCATATTCTACAAAGATCAAAAAACCCCTTCACAAAAAAAATCCCAATAAAACAGCCCCAGGGATGTCAGATCCTTAATCCGCTCTTCACTGAAAGTTATTAACACAATATCAAATGATGGAAAGAATAGTCACAGCAAACAGTATACTCAACTATGCTCCAAAAATAATATTTTGCCCTTCCTCGGTTCCCACCTCAAGAAGGAAATGTTATAACTGGCCAGTTCAATCTTCAGATATTCATCTTACCATGTTCTTCTATGAAGGAGGGAGAAGTAAGGACCTGACATTGCTAACATGAAGAACAAGCAAAATAGAAGAGAGCAAAACTGAAAATTTTGGTTTTGTTCACCAGTTCACTTTAAGGTAGGTGTATTTAAGGTGTGAGTAAATAATCTTTAATACATATTATGTTTTCAGATTTATACATTTATGCACACTGCTGACTCAATACATTCTACCTTATTTTAACTTTAAAGAATCTCCCTACCCTCCAATCATATTCTGAATTCTTATCACCCTGTCGGGTGAATTCCCATGAAGCCAAGCAGTTCAGACCTCATAACTGAATAGTTAAGCCATAAAAACTTTTATACGATTCTTACTAAAGACTTGTTCCAATAAGCAAAATCCAGATCAAAATATAAAAAACTCCACATACATTTCTGGTATTCAGTGTTTTGATCTGACGTCTAGTTTAATAGCCAATGCTCCATTCTCTGTGCCTACATGCTATATAAATAAAAAATTAGCACCACATTTTTCATGACTGGTATGCAAGACAATGTAAAATTAATACAATTACAAATATCAGCTACAAAAGAATTGCGGGTTGTGCTTACGCGCTTTTCACGACAGTCTATGATCTTAAGCAAGAAGGAGTTGGATGTATGCATAATTCATACAATCGATATGTATGTAGCAGCCACTTTGAAAACTCAGTTAACATATCCAAAATGCAGAGAAGCCAAAAAAATCTGATCAGTCTACCACAGTTAAATTAATATTTTTGAAGCAACCTTCTTAGAGATAGAGAACAAAACCCTCTGAAAACCAATTAAACTCCCAATTATTTTTAACTACGAACACTTAAAACAATAGTTATTTCAAATTAGCAAAAGCATTCCCCATCCAAGAAAGTGTTTACATCTCATAGCCTAAGTGAACACCTGAAATTAGTCTTCAAATAATTCCATGCATTTATAAAGCTTTGTGCATAACAATATTATTTTTTTCTCAGAAAGTAACTTTGGACATATTAGCTGCTGCTCCAAAGCAGAAATACTTCATTACTTCACTCTCCACTAACCATCTGACATTCCTCATCAAAAATATAACACCAAACACCTGACCTCCAACATACCCACTGAAAAAGAAACAATTATTATTTGTTTAATCCACAAAGAAACCACTACCGTAAAAACAATGTTTACCTACAATTCTAAATATCCACTAAAAAAAAAAAAGGAAAAAAGAAGGAGGAGGAAAAAAAGCAATGAATTATGTAGATTCTGTCTTCTGAGCCAGGATTTCCACAAATTTACCAAACACCTGGAATGGAAAGTAATATTATTTTTTTAAAGAAATAGTTATGTTAGGCAGAGTTTCAAACTATCCTTAGTAAGTGACAATACATTCACTGTTGCCAAAACACAGTACTGGCAAAAGCACAACCACACTGTGCACCTTTCTCCAAAATAGCAATAAGCATTTTGATTTGTAACATCACCTCATTAGAGTTTATTTCATTTACTGATTTTGTCAGATTTATGCGCCACACTTGTTAGATCAGGGAAATTATATACACTGGAGCCAACTCAATCTGGTAAATCCATCAAAACTAAAAGGTGACTTCATTATCATGTACATGTAACAAGGAGAAAATACTGGTTTATGGTAGCTTATGTTATGAACCTTAGTTCATTTGCCTTTTATCTGTCGCTAGTTTTCCTCTGAAGTACAGTAGGTATTATAAAAACAATATTGTTAGCATAGACGTGGCTTTGTGACTTAAATGCAAAAGTCTTAAATACACCTCGTTATCTGTTAAATAAAAAGGATCTTAGATAAAAGAGTATTATGACTAAGTGTGGGATATAACAAGCTATAAATGAGAAAACAGCACATATAGCCACCCAAGAAGTGGCATGCTTGACTCCCACAGTACCTATTTAACTTCAAATCCCTATTCTGTGCTACAACAATAAACTTAACTTTCAAGTCCAAATGCATGATTTTGTCTCAGGCTCAGAGCAAACAAACCAGTGTGCATAAACTACAACACATACTGGCTAAAAACCTTTACATACTGCACTAGAACCCTAAAGGCAAATTCCTTACTTGTAAAAAAATAATACTAAATGCCAAACACAGAAGCAACAAAGTAAATCAGTGTTTAGACCTTTTCTTTCTAAATATTCTTTCAGATTTCAACCAGAGTCACATGAACGTGAATTTAGGTTTACATAATTACTTTAAAAACACTGCCCGGGGAGACATCTGAAATGCACAGAAAGCATTTCCATCTTTTAATGAGAGATCACACACAACGGACAGACAACCTGTACCTTGAAGGTGACAGGGAACATCATATTCAATTTCATCATGTCTCGATGGACTAAGAAACAGGGTTCCATCCACAAGTGGGAACTGTTCAAACACTGGCAATGTTCTGTGGCACAGCGCACAGTTTACAACATTTCTGTGGCTGGCACTAAGTGCTGCGAGAATAAACTTCCGAAGGTCCTCTCCTTGACCCACTTGGGCATCATCTTCCATCCGAACATGGAAAGTATTCAACTTATGTCTTGGGATATGAGTGAGAAGTTCAGATAGATCAAGCCTCCTCAAAAATTGCACAGGCGCATCAAAATGTCCTGACCTATGTGCTTGCAGCCCAGCTGCCCCATAATCAAAATGGGCATTTCTGAACATCCCACCACCAGCCATATTCTTCTTGTGTGGTTCCAGGTGAATGGCGTTTTTTAAAAATTCTCCTAAATAGCGTGAAGAACGGGGACCACTGAAATGTGCAGGGGCAAGAATGGAGTAGCCTGTAGGAGGGGACTGGCCAGGAGAGCCACAGGGAGAACGAACAGCATAGCCTCCACTAACTACACCTTTCTCTTGAGAGTTCTGTCTGTCCATCGAATGTCTTCGCTGAATATCATGACTTAAACCTTTCTGTGGCTTGTTAGTAGGCCTGCCCTTTTTAGCATCTTCTGCAGACTCTCCCACGGACCTTCCTGTGCTCTTCTCCGCCACAGACTTTTTCTTCTTGTCATCCTGCATGCGTTTCACTTGGTACCAATCAGTATCTTTCTTTAAGTGGCCCTGTCCACATCGGCAGGAGCAAAAGCGAAAAGCAAGATCATATCCTTTCTTTGTCCACATGTTCTGGCGACACTGCTTTTCATTCCAACTCCTTGCTCTGCCAATACAATTAAACTGGACAAGAATGCTGCTTTCCCACTCATAAAAACACTGAAGGTGCATCCAGGTGCTGTAAGGGCAATGTTCATTGTTGCATATAACCTTCTGGTAGTCATCCTTTTCAAGGTCAACAGGCCTTCCAAAACTACATATCAGTGGAGTAGCACAAGGTGCTTCTGTGGAACATAAAACAAATATATTAACAATAAACTTACCCTCTGTGCAATTCGTTATTTGCATATTTGTTACTTGTGTGTGTATATCACTCGGCAGGACAAGGCCTGTTACTTAATGTTCACTTTACTTTCATGCCTAAGAGCACTAATCATGGGCTAAGATTATGCTAGCTGCAAAAACAGAACAAAGATGGCCCTTGACCCAAAGAGCTTATAAATACAAGATGAGAGATAAGATGCAAATAGAAGCACAAGAAAACAATGATAACATGGTAAATGTTAGTCAGTCATGAAAGCAGGCCCTGGCACACCTGTTGTCATGAATCTGTAGGCACAATACCAAAGGAAACATTTCAAGAAGGATTTGGAGAGGAACAAATAAGGCAGATGCTATGGGGAATGACTCCGTGGCATGCAGGGCAGCACAGGAGAAAACACAAGGGTATTCATTTTTCCAATAAGTGTGTAAGCAATGGAGGCTGGCTTCAGGGCTGATTAGAGGTGGAAACTGACCCTCTGGTAATTAACGAGAGATGACAAGGTAGAGATAAGCTGGGAAGGGCTTCTGAAAAATAAGCAGCTTATATTTGTGAGGAGTGAAAGCAGATGCTAGGGCAGGTTCTCAGACAAGTAAAAAAGCCACCATAATTTCCAATTTATCTACCCTCAAGGTTTTACAAACTGATAGACTTCAGCAAAGGATCAGAAACTAGTGATCATGCAAAGTCCTTGCAGGATCAGATCCTAAACATCTGTGTAACTGGATGCTTGCAGTGTCCCATTCAACTATTCAAGGCAGGGCAGGGAGGGAAGGTATGCAAAAAATGGGGGGGGAAAAGCTGCTACCCACCTCTACAGGCAATAGTCTCCAAACTATGTCAATCATTTACCACTCTGTTCTCTGTGCCAACAAGGGTGGAAATTACAGTGGGATTCTCTCCTACAGAGACCTTTCTATCAAGAACTGGACTAATACATTTTCCCCACTTTTTTTTTTTTTT